ATCTGGTTGGCTGCTGCAATAATTAATTAATTAATTAATTAATTAATTGTGCCCCGCCCATCTGGCTGGGTCTCCCCAGCCACTCTGGGCGGCTTCCAACAAAGATTAAAAATACATTAAAATGTCACACATTAAAAACTTCCCTGAACAGGGCTGCCTTCAGATGTCTTCTAAATGTCAGGTAGTTGTTTATTTCCTTGACATCTGGTGGGAGGGCGTTCCACAGGGCGGGTGCCACTACTGAGAAGGCCCTCTGCCTGGTTCCCTGTAACCTCACTTCTCGCAGTGAGGGAACCGCCAGAAGGCCCTCTGCCACAGGGGCTGGATAAAACTGGCCGTGGGGTTGGGTTAGGCTCCCAAAACAGACTTTGGACGTGCCTGCACTGAGTGATCTTGTTGCATCCTGAACCAGGCTTCAAATATTTGTTATAAAACTGTGCCATTAGTGGTGATTATTAATTCCACGCCAAACCTTTAATGGTGCATTTTCCTGGTACATTTTCCTGAAATATTCTCCCAGATATCTTTGTATCACAGCACGCTTTTAAAATTCTTTTTATCGTAGCTACTTCTTCTACTGTAATTATATCTGTCAAGAACCATTCTTTAATCGCTGCTATTTTCACTGCTTTATAATATCCTCACTTGCTGCTGCATTGCCTCCCATAACTATTGCTGACCCTTTTGAAACAAGCATCTACGCATTCTCCTTCCACAGGCTGCCTTGGCTGGCTGGCTAGTTTAGGCGTCTTGGACTAGAGCCAGGCTTCCTTTTTAAAGTCCCCTTTTCCTTCCTCCTTTAGTGAAAGCTAATAAAATGGGGTGGGGAGAATCTCGACTTCCTTCCATTCACCCTGCTCCCCACTCCCTAGGAAGTGTCAGCGCCAGCTTGTGCTATGGACCATCAGTATGTAAACTGCACAAGCGCGTCTAAACAGAACGAGGAGGAAGCAGACAGTGAGTGCCTGAGTCACAATGCTCTCCCCTGACTACTCCTTTCCCAGGTCAATTTACGATTCCATCAGCCCATTTATTGCTGTCATATCTGTTTGTCTTGCAACCCCCTCCCCCAAGGAGGAAAGCACATCATCCAGCTACTGCGTGTTTCGGGAGGTGCTGTGCATCCTCAGGCCCCATCCATTTTTTAAAAACAAAGTAAATAAAAAAAAAATTGCAAATACGATGAAAAGAAAGAAAGGGTGGCTAAGTATTGGAAAGGGAATCAGTTACCCACTAGGGGAGAATGGTTATGTAAGCTTTCAGAATGTTTAGAATTAGCCAAATTGGCAGATATAATAAGACAGAAACCAAAAAGTGAAGTGAAAAAGGAATGGGAGTGTCTAAATGAATACCTTAAAAGTCAAGGTTCGAGGACAGAAATCTGGCTGAGTCTGGAATAATCTTGTGAAGTGAAAGGATAAGAAAGAGGGATTTATATCTAGATGCTAGTATAGAGATGATAAAGGAAACAGGAAAACAGGAAGACAGAATGAGAGGTAAAGGAGGTGTTGTGGGATTGGTGGAAGTCAATGTTTGTTTTTCTTTTTAGTGTTTATATTATTAACTTGTAAGATATGGATTTGGGTTTTTTTGTATGTTGGGTTTTGTGTATTGTTATTTTTCGATATTTTTCATACTAATAAAATTTTAAAAAAAATAAAAAAGAAAAGAAAGAAAAAAGAAAGAAAGGGGGGAAATAATGCCAGCTGATACTGACAATAAAAACATTCCATCAATCCTAATTTGAAGGTATAAGCATTCAGGCCCCTTTCAGATGTTGTTTCTGCTGCTTTTGGGGGGTGGGGGAAGGCAGGTATGAGATATGATTGACCCCTCTGCCTTACTCACACTGCTTGCATGTGACTCTCATCCAAAGTCAGACCCGCCTGCTCTTTGGCAATATTTATCATACGTGCATCAGGTTTAAGGAGTGATTTATGGGTCGAACTGCATGTGCTGATGTGAAGTTCAGGCGAGGTTCGTAACTCAGTGGTGGGCATCTGTTCTGCATGCAGAAGGTTCTAAGTTCAATCCCTTGGCCTCTCCACGTAGGGCTGGGAAGGACTCTCATTCTGAAACCTTGGAGAGCTGCTGCCAGTCAGTGTGGGCAGAACTGAGTTAGATGGACCCAAGGGGTGCACTCTTCCTTAGGAAGACTATGTATGTGGCTAGAATTCTGCAGGACCACAGAAGAAAGTGGTCCCAAGATTCAACGTCCTGAGAATCCCTGCTTCCATTTTTAAAAAAGCGAGCAGTGATGTACATGAAAGTGTTGCCCATACAGCCAACTAAACCTCAGAAGCGAGAGGAGAGGCTGAAAAAGTTCCCAGTGATTAGGGACATGCTTTCAGTACTCTACCTAGTTGCTTACTGCTCCCCATGTCAAACATGTGGGATATTGATGAGTGCTGAATCATACATTTCCGAGCACAATTCAAAGTGTTGGTGCTGACCTTTAAAGCCCTTAAACAACCTCGGTCCTGTATACCTGAAGGAGCGTCTCCACCCCCATTGTTCAGCCCGGACGCTGAGGTCCAGCTCCGAGGGCCTTCTGGCAGTTCCCTCACTGCGAGAAGCGAAGCTACAGGGAACCAGGCAGAGGGCCTTCTCGGTAGTGGTTTCCTGTGAAACGCCCTCTCATCAGATTTCAAGGAAATATACAACTATCTGTCTTTTAGAAGACATCTGAAGGCAGCCCTGTTTAGGGAAGTTTTAAATGTTTGGTGTTTATCGTGTTTTTAATATTCTGTTGGGAGCCACTCAGGGTGGCTGGGGAAACCCAGCCAGATGGGCGGGATACAAATAATAATTTATGATGATGGTGATGATGATGATGATGAACTGTATCTAAATACTGCCCAATGAAAATGCTAAGGTTGTGTTTAATTCCTAGGGAAGGAAGTGTTTCTTTGGGTGTGCATGTGTTAAGACTGTTTATTAAGATCTTCTATAATCAAATGAAAACTGGCAAAGAAACACTAAAAACTTGGGAGCATATACCCCTATACATTTGGTCTCAACAAACCTAAGAGCAAAACAAGCAGACAACAGAAAATCTCCCACCAATATGCAATTCTAAACTAAGGTTACCAGATGTCCCAGTTTCCCGGGGACAGTCCCCAGATTTACAAATCAGTCCCCATACAAAATCCATTGAAGTTGAAAAGTGTCCCCAGATTCATTGGAAAAAATCTAGGTAACCTTATTCTAAACACACAAACAAGTAAAAGGAAACCAGGCCACCAAAGAAGAAGAAGAAACCAGCTCACTTGGCCTATAATACCACTCAGATATTAGGAGACTGTTTTGATCTGCCGCTTTGCTGTCCTTGATTCCCACCAAGCCTGTTCTTCGAAAAGTTAGGCTGTGTTCCAGAAACACTTGGACAACTTCTAAATCGGTGAAAGCCAGCGCAGTTGTCTACTGAAGTGTTTTCTTCCCCACTGCTTTTACTTCGCTTTTTTTTTTTCATTTAAGGAAAATATGTCTGGCAAAGCAACTGAAGGCTCCCATGGTCTTCCTCTGCCTCTTGCCTTGCAGGTCCACCTCCCGTTTGCTGTGGTTGGCAGCACCGAAGAAGTGAAAATTGGCAATAAGATGGCCAAGGCCAGGCAATACCCATGGGGAGTCGTGCAAGGTATGTTGGCTGCAGAGGTGGGGTCGGGTGGCAGATCTGCTTGCTTAGCTTCGGTTTAGTGAAATGCAGGGTGGAGCTATAAAACTAATTTCTTTCCGCAACAGCAAAAGAGAGAGAGAGAAAAAAATGTGAAGAGCATGTTAAGATGGTAGCTGGGACCCCAAAAGCTGTGTCAGATGCAGAAACCTTCTCTTTCCCCAGGATCATCTTTTACCCGCTGCACCTGATATGTTCCTGGACTGGGAGAGTTTTAACCACAGTATTTTAGACACTGGTAACTTCAGGATTTAGATTACTGCAGTGCACTTTCTGTGGGGCTGCCCTTGTGCTTGGCCTGGAGATTGCGGTTTCTGGATCTGCTGGAGTTCTTGCACTGGGTATCTGGCTAGAGTTTCTGACTTCAAGGCCCGAGTTCAAATCCATACTCATGCATTTGGCTGGGTTAAGTTGTGCACTGTGCTATTTACAGGTGCACTGTACAGTGGCACCTCTGGTTACGAACTTAATTCGTTCCGGAGGTCCGTTCTTAACCTGAAACCATTCTTAACCTGAGGTATCACTTTAGCTAATGGGGCCTTCCGCTGCCACGCAATTTCTGTTCTCATCCTGAAGCAAAGTTCTTAACCCGAGGTACTACTTCCGGGTTAGCGGAGTCTGTAACCCAAAGTGTTTGTAACCTGAGGTGTTTGTAACCCGAGGTACCACTGTACTACACATTATCAGACGCTAAAATGTTTGCAACCTTATAACCATGGATAGGTATCCAGAAGAGGCCCATTGCTGAATCCTTTCTCTATAAGCTGTAACAGTCAACTGGCAAAAGGGAGCATTCACTGGGGGCCCAGAGTGAGACTTTAGAAACTGCCTTCTGGTTGGGACACATGGGAGACGGCAATACTATAAAAGTGAAGAGCAGAAATGACAGCTGGGAACAACTGCTGTTTGGAAAGCTATGGCTTGTTTAATATATACACTCCGTTTCTTGTGTCTCTTGCAAAGAAATATAAGCTGGTGCCTTTCAGAGCAGCTGTAGCATAATGATTAAAGGGCCTGATTCATGAAAACTCAACTCATCCATGAACGGACTGGAGCAAGCCATTAGCTCTCCAACTCCGCTTCCCATCTGTAAAGAATGCTGGCCTACTTTACAGGGTTGTTGTAACTATTGCTGAAGTATTGCACTTGAAGTGCCTTAAGCTCATAGGAAAATCCTTTGGAGTGATGGAACTGGTCTAAAGACTAGTATCTTCCCGGGGGAAATCAGGGCTTTTGTGTGTAGAAAAGGAAATGGGGCGAGGGGAGGGTGAAGATGGGAGAACCTTGATAAGTTTGAGATTGCTAAAGGAGCCCTTTTGTTTTGTAGTTGAAAATGAAAACCACTGTGACTTTGTGAAGCTGCGTGAAATGCTCATAAGAGTGAACATGGAGGACTTGAGGGAACAGACTCACAGCCGACATTACGAGCTCTATCGCCGCTGCAAGCTGGAAGAGATGGGGTTCAAAGACACTGACCCTGACAGCAAACCATTCAGGTAAGGCAGCTGCAACACCCAAAGCGGAGTATATTTCTGGAGCAGTTGCCCAAGGCATTCTGCTGTAAGAATTTCAGACGTGATGGGCATAATGGCACAGCTCGTTTTGAACATTGCCATGTTCCCAAGCTTCCCTTTAGGCAAGCCAGTTACCAACTGCAATTTTGGGATAATGTATTGACCTACCTTCCAGGGCTGTTGCGAGGATTACAACAAACACACAAAGCACTTTGAATGCATAAAAGCTCAATGATGATGATTAGTTCATACCTGCTTTTCAGGCAAGAATGGCTCCCATAGCAGCTCTTAATTAAATCCACACCAAGCTTCAATATAATTATGGATTTGTAGGTGTGTGTGTTTTTGTGTGTGTGTGTGTGTGTGTCTGAGAGAGAGAGGAGAGAGAGAGAGAGAGAGAGAGAGAGAGAGAGAGAGAGTTGGGAGACTGTCTTTCCTTGGCAGTTAGTCATAACAGTTCAGGTTCCAGGTTATTCCTTTCATAGGAAAGGGGACAGTGGCGGCTAATGATCATTGTAGCAGAATGCAAGGAGACCAGAGTAAATGGCAAGCAATTCTCCCACCCCACCCAAACTGGTCATAGGTAAGGAGGCTAACTGTGGACAGGCTGAAGTTGGGTAGGTAATGCCCCATTTGCCCCTAATAGAAGGGGCTGGACTCATCGGCTGGTTGAATAGTAACTATGTCGACCCACAGAACCAGCCCTTCCACTGATCTGCTATGCAGACCAAAGACACTATCCTATGGCTGGCTTTATAGCTATTAAATAATGATTAACAACTTCCTGATAACGGTTCCCAGCCTCTTGTCACTTCTGAGACAAAGCCACACCATAATCCTCCCCATATGCTTTCAAATTTTATCTCCTTGGCCGTAAAGGGAAAGACGGCTGAGATGTGCAAGATGGTGGACTCTGTACCAAAGGTCAAATTCTACGCTTGCTTGGCAATCCCCATATATGCAAGGAATGCATAAAGCCCTGGATATATTTTATTAGTGATATGTGTGCATGTCAGCATGGCGAAGAAGTCTACAGAACTTACCAGGTGGCTAGTTTGCCTGTAAAGACATTCCTTGGTAATCCATCCATGGCCTAAAAGAGATAATTGATAAAAACTTCCCTTTCCTTTCTGGGTAACCCTTACTCTTTGCTGGGCGACAAGATGAGTGGCTATTTGAGTCAGTATCTCTTTTATCAATGTATAAAATAGTTCAGATTTATAAAGCAGCCCTGGTTTATCTCTGAGCAACAACAAGCGTTCTGTTCAATTACGCAAGCGTAGGAGCAAAGCGTTGGGTCTCATCTTCCCACCCAGTTCACTGTCCCCCCCCCCCGAACATGATGGTTTCTTGGTCTAATCTGCCAAAGGCAGGCTTGGCTCCCTCTGCCAGAGTTGTGCGCTAGCAACTGGCAGATGATGTCGGGTTTTCGTTCCCCACCTACCTTCTCCTGTTTTCCTCCCCGTCCATGTGGCTAAGCAGGTTCTCCTCACAGCCTGCCAAGCTTTTGCCTGGTCTGGATCCAGATTCTGCTTCCAGCTTATCTGCCACTGCATCAGTCTGCATCTTAAATCAGTTTCATACAGAAATAGTATATGAACACGGTTATGTTATTTAATTGGGGAAACAGGAGCATCCACACTGTTTCCTTGGAATGGTAATTGGATTCATTTGCTGGCACAGAGAGCTAGAGATGGGTGTGTAGCTATAATTGTGTATACAGTGGTACCTTGGTTTTCAAACGTTTTCATTGGCAAACATTTCAGTTTTCGAACGCCGTAAACCCGGAAGTAAATGCTTCCGTTTTCGAACGCGCCTCAGAAGTCGAATGACTTCTGCTGAGTGTATATGTTATTTTTCTCAATTTTCTGTATCAAATTTGCAGACTGCCCTTTGCGCCTCGGTTTTCAAACATCTCGGAACAGTCTTCTGGAACGGATTACGTTCAGAAACTGAGGTACCACAGTATATGTGTGTGCTGTGAAAAAAGGATGCTGAAATAGATAAACAACTGACCTGTTCTATCAAGCTCTTCGTAGGTTCTTATGACTCACTGTCATCATCATGGCTAAGAAAGGATTTTAATCCGGGTCTTCCTGTTGCAAAATCCAACACTTTAGCTCATCAGTCTCTAACATGGTGCCTGCGGATGTATTGATAACTTCAAAGCCTTCTTAAGTGTGTTTACCTTTGTATCCCTTGAAAATACATAGACATGAAGAAGAAGGTAGTGAAGCTCTTCCTCTCTTCCTCTTTCTGTTCTACAGTGGATGCTCAGGTTGCGAACATGATCCATGCGAGATTCATGTTCGCAACCTGCAGCATTCGCAATCCACGTCTGGGCACATGTGGGTTGCGATTTGGCGCTTCTGCACATGCGCAAAGCGTGATTTAGTGCTTTTGCGCATGCGCGACTGCCAGAACCCGGAAGTAACCCGTTCCGGTACTTCCAGGTTTTGGCGGTCCATAACCTGAAAAAACGCAACCTGAAGCGGCTGTAACCCGAGGTATGACTGTATTAGCATTTCATGGCTCAGATTAGTTATGCTGGTTCTGACTCTTGCCCAGATCCCTTGGAAAAGCGAAGCATGCTTTATTTATTTCATTCTTTTATGGGGCAGGGGGATGATCTGGTCTGGGAGGAGGAGGAGAGAGACAAGACCAGAGAAGTTATCACCTACACCACTCCCTCAAAAATCCAAATGTGCCCACAGGCCTAAAAATGTTGGCAAGACCTGTAGATGCTGTCTTGTTAATGGCAGCAAAAGTCAAATGCTGTGGTTTTGTAACCAGGGTGTTGTGGCACCCTGGGGTGCCTTGAATGATGGTCAGGGGTGCTGTGGGCAACAATGGCCTCTGTCCTTCTTTCCTTCCTTCCCTCCCTCCTCTGACGCCCTCTTGTGTCTCTGCCTCCCGAAGGCTTGCACAGCTGTTTGTTGCAGCAGCCGTGGCTATAAGCTCTGCAGGCGAATGATGCCTCTGGGGCTGGCCAGGGGGTGCTGGTTGCCAGGAGCTGAGGTGGCCTCGGAGTGAGCGGGCGAGGGAGCCCAGCCAGCCAGTCCACCAGTCCTTGCTGTTTGGAATGGGCAGACAAGTCCCAGGCCCCTGTGGTGCTAGACTTATGTTCATCTTTGGCCAGTCTGTTGGGCCATTAAGGCTGGGGGCTTCCTCTTCCCAGGTCCCTGTGGGGCAAACCTCACTTTGTGGCAGGGGGGGCAGCTCAGAGACTGGAGTGGCAGCAGCAGCTGCCCAGAAGACTCCCAAAGAGAGGGGAGAAGAGGCTGAGGGAATCCTCCACCAGAGAGGGTGTTTTTAAAAGGGTGAGAAATTGCCAGCTCTGCAGGCAGGCAAGGGGTGACATAACTGGGCTCCTAAGCCCCACAGGGATGCTGCAGAAAGAATGTAGTTGGTCAAGGGAGCCATGGACTCAAAAAGGTTGAAAACCTCTGGCCAAACGGATCCAAAATGGCTTCCGCTTGGCGGTTGCAATGAGAAAATTGCAGGGGTAGGGCAGAGCCAAAAGTAGCAATTTATTTCTTTTCAAGTTCAGATAGCAAAGAGGAAGTGGAGAAAGAGAGGAGATAGAGGACCACAGATAAGGGTACTTTCTTCTTGTCTCCTAGCGCAAGTCAGAGAATAGATGTGAAGTGCAGGCACTTTTAATCTTTTCAAACCAGCCTGGACTCTTCAGCAAGCCAGCCTTGCTTCCTGACAGGGAGCAGAAAGCATTCCAGGAACTCTTGAAACCAAGCTGGATAAAGAAGTGGTGACAAACCGTTTACTTCATGAAGGACCCAGCGCATAAGGGGCGAGAGGAAAGAGATGCTTCCCCGTTATCAGGCAAACTTCATCAAGCTCCTTGGCAAGTGATGCTTTGGTGTAGTTCTAAGAAAGGGGGAAGCTGAGGCAGGGTCTGTGCACAGCACAGCATGAGTGCCGTGTTTTGCTCTGCTGAGGGTGTAGCAAAAGAAGGGAAGAAGTGTTTTGCACCACACAGAAGAAGCATTGGTAGTGGTGCCTTCTCCAGGCGCTTCATCCAAGGGAGGTGCAGAGAGCGGACTTTTCAGTAGTGGCCCCAACTGTTTGTGGAATGCTTTCCCCAGGGAAACATGCCTGGCACCATCAATGTTGGTTTTTAGGCACTAGGCCAAGATATTTTTTAATTCACTCAGGCTTTTAGGACTGTAGTAGTAATAGTAATAGGAGGAGGAGGAGGAGGAGGAGGAGGAGGAGGAGGAGGAGGAGGAGGAGCAATATAGAAGTTACTCAGGCCTTCTTTGCTTTTCATCCAGTTTTGTGCTTCTTTTCAAAAACACTTTTCAACTGAAGAGGACTTGATGTTTCCATGCCAGAAAAATCCTGGCTGAAAGTAAATATTTTTGGGATGAACAGTTATTTATTCAGGGTATCCCATTTTTGTCCTGTCCTTCCTTCAAAGAGCTCTGAACTGTGTATAAGGTGGAAAGGCTTGTTTTTTTGTGGAGGGGAGGGAGGGTTGGTATAATTTTATTATTTATATGCCACCCATCTGACTGGGTTGCCCCAGCCACTCTGGGCAGCTTCTGGCAATATATATATATATAAACCAATAAAACATTGAACATCGAAAACTTTCCTATACAGTGGTACCTCGTGTTGCGTAACCTCCAGGTTATGGAATCTTCGGGTTATGGCTGCGGCAAACCCGGAAGTGTATACTTCCGGGTTTCGCCGCTCACGTGTGCACAGAAGCACTCTAACGCCCCACGCGTGTGTGCAGAAATGGCACCTCTAGTTACAGATTTTTTGGGGTGCGCATGGCACCCCGAAAAAAATTAAATCCGTAACTAGAGGTACCACTGTACATTGCTGCCTTCAGATGTCTTCTAAAAACCATATAGTTGGTTATATTGGACATCTGATGGGAGGGCGCCACTGCCGAGAAGGCCCTCTGCCTGGTTCTGTGCGTGTTCCAAGTTCAATCGCCAATTGCATCTCCCAGATCTCTGCAAATGGGCCTGGGAAGACATACACACACACACTCACACAACCCTGGGGAGTTGATTCTTCCAATAACGCATTAGATGGACTCATGGGAGGGTTTGGTGTAAAAGCGACCTCCCATGCTCATACCACCTTTTATCCTCTCAATAACCCTGCAAGGTATGTCACAGGCTCATGTGCAACCTTAGCTGATTTACCAGGAGCTGCTGATTGATTGATTGATTGATTGATTGATTGTTGTTCTTCCTTCGATGTTACTCATCCGTGATACTAATGAGGTTTGGCTTTCTTTCTATCTGCCCACGACCACCACGTCCTCTCTCTTTTTTAACGGGGTGCTTCCATAACAAGTCTGCAAGAGACCTATGAAGCCAAGAGGAATGAGTTCCTGGGTGAGCTCCAGAAAAAGGAGGAGGAAATGAGGCAAATGTTCGTCATGCGGGTAAAGGAAAAAGAAGCCGAGTTGAAAGAAGCAGAAAAGGATGTAAGTGGACTCCTCCCCTCACTCTTAATACAGGATCCCCACCCCCACCCCCGACTCTGAATGATTCAGCTTGGAATCGTCAGGGGGTCCATATGGGAGCACTTGTGTGAAGCAGAAAACACAAACCATTGTTATTTGGGGCTGGATCATGTATAGGGTCCCTCCAGACTGGTGTTTTGTGTGTGTGGGTGCATTCAGCAACAAGTCGTTGTCGCAGTAATAGCGCATTTGTGGTGGATTTATGCTGGACATCCTGCCACTATATTAGCTGAATGAATGAATTTTATTATTTCGGTCACAGACCAGTTCCAGCCCACATACAGTATCAAGGAAGTCATAGAACACAATGGGGATACATTTGAATTTGCAATTAGGTATAACAGGGACAATGCAGATATAGCAACAGTTTTAAAATATATAAATTAAAACTTAGTCTATATTAGTTGTTCCGCAATGCTTCCCAAGAGTTACCACGTTACTGGATTCTTGTGCTGCGTAGTGCAACAAAAACAGGACAAAAAATAAAGCCCCAAATAAAACGCAGAACATAAAAAGAAAAACCAGGACATTTGTGGTATTAAAAAATAAAGGACTTCTGCAGGGAGCTATGGGGCATGCACCGACTAGAAGCAAAGCAGTATGTCCACCTGAAAGTGTAGCAGGCATGAACCCTATTGAAAGTGGGATCACACAGAACCCCCTTCAGTGTTTTTGTGAATGCACAATTAAAAAAAAAAGATTTATGGAGGGGCCCATAGTCAATCCTTACCAGAGTCACCTAGGTCACTTGTGGGGCTAGAGAGGGAGATAGAAAAGGGCTGTTCCCAGTCTGGAGTTTAACGTTCATCATGTAGAAGGCACCACTGCTGTTATGTACTGAAGTTCTCACCCTAGGCCAGCAGGGGGATACTGTAGATAGTTTTCACTCAGGTCCACATATGCAAATAGGGGATTGAAAGTGACGTTCAGTGATTGGATAGTTACAGAAAATAGTTACAGTTGCGTTGTATCTATATAAGCAGGCTGACTGAACCCTTCAGTTCAGTTCTGTCCTGGCCTGTGAATAAACAAGAGCTGTTTGAAGAATCGCTGTGTCGTCTGATATGTTCACCCACAACTTAACAACTACCACTTAACCACAGCCCAACTCCTGGTGTTTATGTCAGAGCGGATCAATCCACAGTCTTCAAACTAATTCCCAATCAAGGGGGCTGATGCTTCACATATCCTGTTCCCTTCTCTGCTTGAAGAGGGTGCTAAGACCTCGCTCAGTTGGTAGAGCAGGAGACCCTTAATCTTAGGGACCCACATTGGGTGAAAGATTCCTACAGGGCTGGGCTAGATGGCCCTGGTGACCCCTTCCAAGTCTACAATTCTGTGATGCTGTGATCTCTGGCAATAGGCCATGAGTCTGCTTGTTCAAGCCCCTTCCATCCTTTGAGCCTGTGCAGCAGGTTTGGACTATTACAATTTTTTCCTGCACTTAACGCTTCTTTTCTCTCTCTCTCTGCCTCTCTCCGTGTCCACGACCTCCCTCTTTCTTTCCGGTTGGGCAGCTTCACGAGAAGTTTGACCACCTAAAGCGGACTCACCAGGAAGAGAAGAAGAAAGTGGACGACAAGAAGAAGGAGCTTGAGGAGGAGCTGGGCAACTTCCAGAAGAAGAAAGCGGCAGCCCAGCTGCTCCAGTCACAAGGGCAGCAGGCTGGCTCTCAACAAACCAAGAAAGACAAGGACAAGAAAAAGTAAGCCATTGTCTCAGGTCGAGCTCTGTGGGCTTCTGTTCCAGTGTGCTGTCTTCCGTTGCATGTCTGTATTCGCTTCTTCCCATTATCAGACTGGAAACTGGGCTTCCCTCCCTCTCTCCCCGCCCCCACTTTAAAACAAAAAACCCCCCAGACTGAATTATTTTTTATATAAAAGAAAATACAGGTTTGTTTGCTTTTTTCTTAAAAGAGGAGCGGGGAGGGAATATGACCGGCTTTATTTTTTTATACAGAGGGTACCTTAATAATATTTTGTAAAAGCTTGACTAGCGTGTTCAAAGAAGCAAGAGAGCAGTTGGAGAGCAGAGACCGAAAGCCAGCCCACCCAGCGATCGGCTGAACCGACTTTACAATAAGTCTTGGATTTTCTGTTGTCGAAGCAAAACACATAGCGCTCCGTCTCTCACTGTCTTTCCCAGTGATGCTTCAAAAGGTCTGTGCTTAATTCACTGTGTAAAAGCCTTGCCACGATGGGCCAGTGTAGAGATGACAGTTTTCCTGAGTGTTAGCCGTGTGGTTAAGTGATTGTGTTGGGCTGCAGGATCATGCCGCCAGGTTCCCTCGCCTCGCCTCTGGGTTTTGCGGGCAGCCGGGAGGATGTGATCCTGTGGCCCCAACCCTCTTAAATGTACGCAACAACTTGGCTCATATTGCATTCCTAACCAGCCAGAGGTATATTCAGCTCGGAGTCGCTTAGTGCCAAAAGCGACTATTTGCAAAAGCGGCTGTTAGAGCGTGCAAGTAACTCTAGTTACAGTATAAACTGTCTGGTGCCAGTTCTGCCCCTCTGCTAGCCAAACAAATTAACAGTGCTGGGTATGCTATGATTGCAGTACAATGCTTCTTATTGTAAAAGTAAAAAATAAAATAAAACCAGCAGTCTGGCATCGTTGGAGCAAGTCAGACCCGCATATTTGCAGTCAGAGCTTTAGCCGCTGCTTGGCTGCGGAAGTGAAGAAAAGTTTTGCAGGCACGTGAGGGTACTTAACTGCACCAGCAATGGGAGTGCCATGCATGGATGGGGCTCTGGAGCTATGCTCATGGGTCTTCTAAGTGCTTCTTGAAGGAGCAGTAGCACATGCAAAGGCAATATGTCTCCTCTTGATAAATACCTTTCGGGAAATTTCAAAGCATTGTTGCAGTGTCTCTTGAGAAAGAGAGAAGCATACTAGGCATGAACCTTAACAGGTATCTGGTCTACAGCAGGACCTTTCTCTTCCCCTGCCATTGTTCTCCAGACCTTTCTCTGCTAGTCCTGGTGGGTGCCAGGGGTGCAGCGGGTTTCCTTTTGGTTCCGCACCTGTGCATATGGCTCTGCAAGCATGGCACCCATAGGAGATTTGGGTGACGTTTGCCACTTCCGTAACTACCCTGGTTGCATTTTTGTAACACTGGAGTCCTCCTGCAGGTCACTTACAAGGTCTCAAGGTACTGAAAAGGGCAAAGTGCAAAAGATGGAGCCATCTACTGGCTTCAGGATTATGTACTTGCAATGTAGGTATACAGATTTGCCTTTTTCGTGTTGACCTTTCTTTAAAGGCGTTGCGACCACTGGAGAGGGTTACAGGAGCAATCTCGCTCCACAAGAATGTAACCAGGGATGTGCAACCCCAAAGGTCTTTCCTTACCTTCTTTGCAAGTTTAGAGCCACCATGGCCAGTTCTGTCTTCCAGGCTGATGCTGCAAGTCCCATCTGGGAGAAGGGCAGTCAGCACAGGGACCTGATCCCTTCCCTGCACACGTCTGTTTGTGAGTGACCGGCGCTCTGCTTCAGAGTGCCGGTCACCCACAAAAACTTTGGTGTGGAAACTCCTTTTGGTTGCACTTCTGCCAGCAGAAGTTGACCCACCAAAGAGCTTTGTATCCATTCCGTCTTTCTCTCTAGTCCTAAATACTGGCTAAGCTTAGTTTCTGCAGTAGCTAAAACAACAGACACCTTAAAGACATGATCCCTCTATACAAACAGGACATGCACCACACTGTAGCTCTTTCCAGCTCTTCAAAACTTCTAGTTACTCCATCCTTCCTTCCACCCAACATTTTGTGGCCATTGACCACACTCTGTCCTCACTGAACTGCTTTTAAATTTCCCTCCCTTAGGATCCTTAGGGAAGGTTTATTTTAACTTGTGCAAAATTTGGGGTCTGTCCCTCAATCTTTCAGATGATCTCCTCCCGCTTCTTTTATGCGTGGATTGATGCCAATTCGGCTAGACAATCAATAACAGTCACATGACATAAGTATCATGTAACGCAGGGGCCAAACTAATTTCCATACACGGTGTTGCCAAATGTCATGGGTTGCAAAGAACTTCGGTAGATCCGTTAAATTTTTGTGCAGTATATATCCCTGCCACTTCCTGCATCTGATGAATTGGGCTCATGTTCATGACAGCTCACGCCACAAATTGAGTGCTGGTCTTTAAGGTGCTACAAGACTCTTAGTTGCTTTTGCTACGGCAGACTAACATGGCTACCTCTCTGCTATAACCGAAGTCCTATTCTGCAATTTGTAAAAATGAACAGAGTGAGGTCCATTTTGACTGTTCTAGCTTCTGACTGTGCTTCCCTTGTGGGGGTTGGGAATCAATATGTAGGTTATATTTTTTTAAATGAAGGATTCTTTGAAAGAGTAATTATTTTTGAATCTGTCTTTACATGGAAGAAACTCTATTTTTTGTATATCTTATAAGCATCTGTAATGGTGATTGCTTGACCTAGTCGAGGAGGTCTGTCTCTGGACTCAGTCGAATTTGCAAATTACAGGAGGGCGTTCCGTCTTTGGAAAATTGTACATTTTCAGCATGGGCTGGCTATCTCACCTCACCTTGTGCCCCTTTGGCCTTGTTCACAATGCACCTTTATTGTAGAGCAGTTAACGAGACATTCTGTTGTGCAGAACCCACACTGGGGAGCTGTGAAGGAGTATTCTCCCATTGATTGCAGACAAACTTCAGGACGAGTTTAGACCAGAAGCATGTAGCCATCTAGATATGGCTGGCTCACAGCTCCCATTGTCCTGAGCTCTGCCCATGCTGGTCAAGGCCTCAGGTTCCCCATCCATGCCTGGTTCATTTAGTCCCATGTTCAGTGTCCCAACCTCAGTTTCTAAAACAGGAGGAGGTGGAAATGAGCTTCACTTGGAGATCATTTTTCTCCACCCTTCTCCAACACCAGATAATGTGTGGCTGGCTGCGGTTCTTCAGTGGTGAAGGAAAAGCACTCTATGCGAGAGGGATTTCCCTAACGTTACTATAATATCACATCTTCCAGGGCTGAACCTGGCAATAGGAAGTTTCTGGTACTGATCCCTAGCTCAGAGAAAGCTGTAGTTGCTCCATAGACCGTTGCTGTCTATATAAGCACAATCTCTTCTATAATAATATTTTATGAGGCAGCAACTTTCTGTTTCCCAAAACTAAAGCCGTCCACCTTCGACTATAAATTAGGTTGACATTTTTACTTCCTTGTTTGAGCATGCGTCTGAGATGCGGCAGTGAATTTTGTAAAAAAAAAAAAGAGAGAGAGAGAGAGAAATGAAATAAACCGTAACATCTGACCTGGGTTTCAAACTTGCAATCCCAAACAGACCCCTTGCCCTTCACTCACTATAAAGAGGGATCAGTTAGGGAAAGTGCAGATGTTACATTAAGGAAAAATTAGGAGGGATGGGGAGGGGGGGCAAGGCCTAAGACGTGCCATTTTCTCAGAGGTGTAGTGTTTAGAGCTAACGGAAGGGCGAAGCCTGAAAATGGCATTCCTGCAGAAACCAACCCTTTTTTGAGAAGCATCCCAAAAAGCGTTCCAGGAGATAAGACTGAGCCTGCTGAATGGGGGCTACAGGAACTTAATATTTTTTTATCAGGCTCTATGGACACATTCCAGGTTTTGTTTCGTTTCGCCTTTTTTTGCTGCAACGATAAGGGCCTAAAGTATTAACTTTTGGAGAGAGAGAGAGAGAGAGAGAGAGAGAGAGAGAGAGAAGGGGAGGAAAGATGGAATTCTCAAGGTTATTTTTGTAGTGGATCCATTTGGTTGTTATTTCTTTTTACGTGTCTGGAGTTCCCCCACGTGGCATCAGACTGTCACTGCAGTTGTCAAGCCAGAGGAGCATTCGCTGGGTTTGCAGATAATACTGTTAAGGGCTGCTGCTGCTGCTTCAAACATGGGGCCAGATTCTGGCTGGCTTAGACTGGCTGTTCACGGTTATAATGTTTGTTTCACTGCATGTATACATGTGCTAGGAAGCTGTGGTTTGGCTCAGCTTTCCTGCGCATGTGCGCTATTCATACATGCAGCAACACACACATGTAGCACATGCACAGGGCTGCATATCTAAATCATGACCTGTGATAGGTATTTCCCAACCCCAGTTCTCACTGTCATTTGCCAGAAGTGGAGTTGTGGTGCTAGAGCCTGAAATGCAGTGGGCAGGACACGATCCAGCCTCCTGATACAGTGGTGCCTCACAAGATGAAAAGAATCCGTTCCGCGATTCTTTTCTTCTAGTGGTTTTTTCGTCTTGCGAAGCAACCCCATTGGCGGCTAAGCGGATTAGCGCTATTAGCGATTTAGCGCTATTAGCGGCTTAGCGGGCTTAGCGGCTAAGCTGTTAAAAGGCTATTAACAGCTTAGCAGCTTTGAAAAAGGGGGGGGAAGCGGGGGGAAATGGCGAGACTCGCAAGACGTTTTCGTCTTGCGAAGCAAGCCCGTAGGGAACTTCGTCTTGCGAAGCGCCTCCGCGACGGAAAACCCTTTCATCTTGTGGGTTTTCCGTCTTGCGAGGCATTCGTCTTGCGGGGCACCACTGTAGTTAGGCTGCACCCGGCCAACCCAGATGCTGCATGCTGTCTGCCGTTATAGGGTCGGGTGCCCTTGGTGGTTGGAGAGGCCCCCCAGTTACAGCGCAGATATAAACCCCTGCACATTGACACAGAATGCTAAGCCAGGGGCCACACCGTGTGAGCACAATGCACACTTGGAAGCCACACACACTCTCATGCGCCGCGACCACACACGGACGTGCGCATTAACTCCATGCAGTCGCCAGCAATTGGACTGGAGGGGGGGAAGGGGTTTCCACTTTCCCCCCTCAAGGCCGATGGGGTCATATTCTTGGAGGCTGCATCTGGCGAGAGAAAGCTAACTGTAGCTTCTTTCAAGATGGGGCCCTCTGGCAAACTGGCTTGTCAAGATGCGAGCACATGTGCTAAGCTACAGAGGGTGGTTTATTAATGCAGCCCAAGTGCTCCTACTTTCCCCTTCTTTCTGCAACCAGGTAAACAATCGATGAGCTGGTTAGCTTTGCATCCAAACCTTTGTTTTGCCCAAACCACAGTTACCTGTTTTTGTCCTAAGCTATTGTGATTTGCCTGGGTGGAACAAACCATGACCTCAGACATCACTTAGCTTTAATGACATGCTCCGTATTGGGTATATTTGTATTCTGATGTCTTCTTGAATGTTTACTGTAAGGCACACTGGGCACAGCTTGTTGTGAGAAAGCAGCATATAAGTATAAAGTCAATCCATCAGTCATAAACCTTTCACAGTTTGTGTACCTGCATGCAGAAGGGAGGCATGTCGCCTAAGGGCTTGAACTGCATGCACACTGTGCTTTAATAAACGATACTTCGTGACTTGGCACTGCATGCAAATGCTGCCTGTGTCTGATGGCCACATTTAACAATTCACAATGGGCTGCATGCTCTTTCCTGGGCTGCAGAGAGTTGGTCTGGATGACCCCCTGCGTCCCTTCCAACTGCACTTCTAGGATTCTGGGATTCTCTCCTGCAGAGAATCACTTTCTGTGCAGGTAGCTCTTTTCCACTTTTAGAAACCGTTTTGTGCTCAGATGTGCAGTTTGGTGCTTTCACTTGCTGTTGAATGCTTTAAATGGAAAAGTGAGAGTATGTCATCATTCTTACAATATATATGCATATATATTTATCACGCACACCCACAGATGTTGCAACCTAGCCTGGATTTCTGCTTTTTAAAGGTTTTTAAGTTTTCTCTTGCCCTTGAATTCAGGGCTCCACTTTGCCTAGGAAAGGGTTTGGACTTTTCTTGGTAACAGAACCCATAGTGGCACAACTGCAGTATTGTTGAAGTCCATTGACTGGTGGCAGATCAACCTGCTCGCTGCTGCCAGCATGACCTCCCTCTGAAACCCAGCACATTGGAATGCTCCTTTTTAATCCAGAGCAAGAACTGGGCAGCTGAGGTTTTACAACGTATGTTTGTGGCAAGGCAAAATATATAGTAACTAGCATTTTTGTAACACTTCCGGGAGACAATGTGCTAATCTGGAGCAGAACTTCCAGATCAGCTTCTCCAGTTAAATGATTTCAGGAAGCAGGAGTGGGGGGGGGGGGAAACCCTCATCCTAAAACAGCCATTGCCAGCCTTCCTCAATCTGATTCCATAACTCCTATCAGCGCCATTGTGTGCTGACTTAGGCTCTTGTCTTGCATTGCTTTTTTGATGTGGAGAGAATTTGCTAGTGGGAGTCCCTCCATTCCCCCAGCATTCAAACAAGAAGGGTGCAGTCCAGGAAATTCTGTACCTCCTGACTCCTGCAGGTAACATGCACTCTTGCAGCATGCATTCCTTTAGCTACAATTTTCAAACATGCTAGCTTGTTAATTCTGGGAGATGTACAGCTTTGTTTGCTTCATCAAGATTACTAAAGATCTTTTCCAAGGCACTTATTTTGCCCAGTGTTTTGTGGTGGGTGTCTGTTCCTTTGCTCAATTAAGGGTTGTGGGTTTTTTTTAGTGCAAAGTACAGTATGCCACATAGTGATTTGCCAATTAACTGGTATATGCTTTCTAAATCTGCAATTAAATTGCTGTGTTCCAATCTGTCCCAAGGCATGCACAGGCTCTCACTGCTTGCAGAAACGTTTGCATTCATTCCAGTGGAGGGAGCCCACCTGCACATGCGTTTCTTTGCACACGAGGCACTGAATCAATGGCGCATCTCATGCACATCCAAGGAGGGCATTGGAGGGAATGTATGTGCTTGCATGAAGAAGGGACCCAGGTTCAAGTCCTGGCATGCCCAGTTGAAAGGCTCTCCAGTAGCAAAGCTGGGGAAAGGCCTTTGCCTGAGCACTTGGCGGTACACAGAAAGCTACCTTGTATGGATTATAGGTCCATTTAGCTCAGTCCTGTCTGCATTGATTGGCAGTAGCTCTCCAGGGTTTCAGGCAAGAGTCTTTCCCCACCTAACCTGGAGACACAGAGGACTGAGTCTGGGAACCTCTTGCACACATCCTGTGGCTGAGCTATGCCCCTTTCCCCAACTACTCAAAGGACACTAACCTTCTGCAAGCTGGAACTGCTCATATGTTGTTGGGCTCCAAGCTCCCATCAGCCACAGCTGGCATGGCCAGTGCTTAGGAACGGACATCCAAAACATATAGAGAGTACCAGCTTTGGGAAGGCTGGAACAGACAGGTAGTTGGACCAGTGAAGCCTCCTAGTGGTGCAGCAATAAAACTGCTGGCACACTTGCAAAGATAAGCAGGGTCTGGTATGGTTCCAAGTTGGATGGGAGACCATGTGTTGAGAATCCTGCATTGCAAGGGGTTGGAATAGATGACTCTCAGAGTCCCTTCCAACGCTATAATTTTACAAGAGGCAGCTGCTTGTGTCTGTCGCCGGAACCGGAGCATTAACTGGGGAAATGGATAAATTAACCGACCAGACCATCCTGTTTTTGTCACACATGGCCCTAAATTTAAAAATGCTGTGTGGCTTTTGGGTCTGTGTTTTATGTCTTTGCTACTAGGCTTCCACACAATAAGAACCTAGCATGGATTTTAAAGGTTAAGGGTTGGTTGGTTTTCATTCCTTCCCATTCCATAATAATCCCTTTTGCAGAACCCTCTGCCATGAAGCAAGAAGCTGTCGCCAGCTTCCTTGTCATTTCCCACAGATTTTCCCCCCCCCAATTTAATTTTTCCTCCTTTTTTGAGTTGCTATTATTTCTAACATTTCTGTTCTCGTGTTTGTTTTTTGATTTGCAGTTCAAGCTTCACATAAAGCCTGCCAAGTCAAAGGATGTTCCTGCAATCACCTGCTTTTGCAGTAATGAGTTTCAGCCATCTTTGTTTTGTTTTTTTCTCTCTTCCCTTTTAAACACAAATCCTTACTATATTAATAATACTGTGGTGGGTGGGTGTTGGAGCAAGGGCTACCTGGCCTTGGGCTTTATTGGGGATATTCCTTCTTCCTCTGGAGAACAGAAACTGTAAAATTGATTGGAACGGGAGCTGGAACTAGATTGAAACAATTTTAAACTTGGGTCTTGTTCATTGCACTTGGGTCCACCTTTTGGCCATGGTCCTCTTGAGATCCTCTTGAGGTGTCTGAAACTTGGGTTGTTTTCGTACAACGGGCTTATGCTTCTTTTTTCCATTTTGAATGGCAAACTCCTACCCTCCCACCTCCTGCACCAAAGCACCTCTTTGCGAGAACACCATCCAGCCACCATAAAACCCTTTAAAGTCCATGGGT